ACAGGCTTTGGATGCCTGTTTCAGCCTCAAAGAGTGGAGGACACAAGCACGTATACTTGAACACGCTCATATACCTTGCTGGCTGCCGCGGATCTAAGACTTTTACACCAGGGCCACAATTCGTCTGTATTGCTGCCAGCTGGCTTGAATTACCACTGGTGCATGTTGACTAACCCATGCATGACCATACCACTTTCACCAACTGTGGTACAAGTAGCCCGATGGAACTTTCATGCATGTACTCAAGCAGGCAGGACTGTGAACTCCCGGCTGCTGTGCTTGTGTCCTTTACCAGGAGTCTAGTCCAGGACAGCCAGGCTCTTCTAGAGACCCTGCTTTTGGAGTGGATGTAGGGAAGCAGCAGGCTTATCTCCAGGTTCTTGTTACAATTGTTTACCAAGATTTCTCACAGTGAGCTGTTCACATTTCATGTTTATTGATCACTGTTTATGTGTCTTCTGAAAATCCAGCCTCCATACTGGTTCTCTCCTTGTTTAGAATTAAACTTTCAAGAACCACTTTTAACTACATATGTTCCAAGCATCCTACTCTGAAGGTAATTTTCTAGACAGAGAAAATAAAGTTTGTTCTGCCTCATTGTTTTTTGTTTCGGTTTTCTCTTTCATTGTTAGTTTTAGGCACTGGACTGCCTCCTCCTAAATTGTAAAATTGTTACAAGTTTCACAGTATTCATACATTGAGTGACAGTGTCTTTTTGTTTTCTGGTTGCAATAGTTTGGATCCCTCCCTCTCATACATTAAGAGACTTGGTTGCTAGCCTGTGGTGCTAGCCAGAGGTAGTGGAAACCTGAGGAGGTGGGGCCTAGTGGAAGGAAGGTAGGTCAGTGGGGGTTACCTTCACAGGCAGGGTGTTCGGGACCCTACCTCCTGCTTCTCTTGCTGCCCAGCTGCCATTAGTTAAGCAGTTTTGTTCAGGTGTTTCCCGCCATGATATTCTGCCCTGTTACCATCCCACAGTCAAGAAGGCCAACCAACCATGAACTGAAACCTCTGAAACTGAAAGCCAAAATAAATCTTTCCTCTTTTTAACTACTAACAGTTTATTCTGATCATCACTTGGGTACTGCATTTGTTTACATACTGTTGGGTAGGTGTCCTTTCATCCATCAATTCATGTATTGAGTAAGTATGATAAAATTGTCATTTTTATATTTCCTATTATAAAAATTAATGGAAAAATGCAATTTTTACCATCCTATATTTAAATAATTAGACTGATAAAATGGTGATTTATCTCAGGTATTTTGTCACAGTGACAAAAACTTACATACTGACTGTACACATTTGGATGAAAGTAATCATGCTGGTGCCATATACAGATTTGAAGATCTGTCCATATCTTTGAGAGAAAGGCCTGACTTCAAGATGTTCTTGGACTTCACTCTATCTACCATAAATACAATTTTTCCATGGCTTTCAAATATCTTTACAAAGGTGACAGAGTCAAATGGATCTTGGATTCCATAGAGACCATGAAGAGGGCATACTACCTACCCATCATGACACTGTTCTAAGTGTAAAGTGATTTCCATTAGACTTCCCACTGTTACTTCCCATAAGATCCAAACCTGGCTGAAAAAAAAGTTATTATTTTCATCAAAAGCAATCTAAAGCCAGCATGGTGGCACATGCCTGTTATTCCAACATTCTGGGAAGCTGAAGCAGGAGGATCACAGTAAGACCAGCCTGGGCAATAATAATGATTTAGTGAAACCTTGTCTGATAATGGGCTGAGATGTAGCTCAGTGCAATGGCCCTGGGTTCAACAAAAAGCATGAAAAGCAATGAAAATTTGGGATAAAGACAGTCAGAAATGAGAACTTGGGCCAAGACAAGGAGATGAAGAGGGCAGGAGCAGTGAAGAAAGCCAGCTTTGGAGCCAAGCCATTTTGCCATTTCTTTTTGATTATAGACAGTAAAGTGGACAGCTTGCAGTAGGGTTTGGTTAATAGAAACCGTTGTACCTCTGTACTCAACTAATGTAAGTGGAAGGCAGCAATTCTGATGTCGGCAGGTGTTGGGATGACTCCTTTCCTGTGGGAAGGTGTGGGAAGGACATCATCTTCACAGTGACCTAGAGGGAAGGAAACCACTCAGGACAATAGGGTGACCAGGGTTTTTACCTCTGTCTCATTGGAATTGGGAGAGTGGATTTTTGAAATTTGACTGAAAAGCATAGGGTCTTTAGTATGTTGTAGCCCTGCTATGAATAAAACTTTCACAGCATGTTTGTAGGATCAATTAAAGGAGAAATTTAAGGTAGCTTAGAAACATTAAAACCTTGCATAATGTATTGAGAATGACAAAGGAAGGAAAGGGACATCTTTTGTTTTTAGCATTGGGGATTGAACCCAGGGCCTTGCACTGAACTACATCCCCAGCCCTTTAAAAAAAAATTTTTTTTTTGTTTTGATCTTTGTAAGTTACTTAGGCTTCAACTTGCTATCCCACTGCCTTAGCCTCCCACAGTGCTAGGATTATAGGCATTTGCCACCACACCCAGCTGGAGAGAGATCTTGATATTTGAGGTGGAAATCTATTTGGTTGCTACTTTGAAGCTGTTCCCAATATGATCCCCATCCTTCAAGTCTTCTATAGTTAAAATATTTTACGTGCTGTTTTCAGATCTCTTCAATATTTTTCTCTTTCTACTGCTGTCTTAGTGCAGAGACTGTCTGTGAAGCATGCCTCATGTGTACTAGCCATTTGAGTGAAGGACAGGAGTAATGGAGGAAGACACTGAAAGACAGATGCAGGAAAAGTTTGAAAGAGATGCTGACATTGGCTATAATTTTACTTAAAGAGTTTGGGGTAATGCTAGATTATCCTGCTGCCTCGTTATAGTTCAGACAGGACTGAAATTTAGGAAACTGTTTTAACCACTAGTGACAGTTTGCCTAGACTTGTCTGCTTCTGGTTTTTAGCAGGTTTTGTGATAAAACCAGATGTGAGACGCAATACACAGTTGGCCCTCCACATCCTCAGTTTCTGTATCTGTGGGTTCAACCAACCACAAGTCAAAAATACTATGAAAAAATAGTCTATATTGAACATACAGATTTTCTTTTTTGCTTTTGTCATTTCCTAAACAATTTCCTAAGTAATACAACTGATGTGGATATTACATATATAGGATGTACCTTGGTTATGTGTAAATACTGTGCCATTTGTGTAAGGAATTAGAGATGCAGAGATTTTGGTGTCCATTGTAGTCCTGTACCCAGTCTCCTGTGATGGACACAGGCAAAAGATGTGTGTCATTCCTCTGCCTAATGCCAGGTACTACCTCTAACTTTCACTGGAATTGCACTTTCTTTGAATGTTCTTTGTTTATACCAAGAAGCACCATTAAATAGAGCAAGGATTGTGCTTTGGGGTCAGTTACAGTATTTTTGAAACGCAAGTCTCATTAATTTGTCTCTTTTTAGAGGTTTTTGAGTTGGAAGCTTCTCACACCTCAGCACCAGGTAGAGCGTGGTTGTTCCTTAGCAACCTGGAGGCTTTTATCTGATGCAGTGTCTTCCTCTGCTATTAGGAAGCGTAGGCCTGCGGGGCTTGTGTTTTCAGGAGGGTCTTATTCCTATGCTGGTTTAGGTCTGAGACACGGTACTGCCTACTCAGTGGTTGGGAGGACTTGGCTAAAGCATGGGGATGCTCTCTTATCTCAGAGAAGGTAGCCTCAAGAGAAACTTTACATTTCAGTTCATCTCAGTTTTTCTTCCACTTGTTTTCCTGGTTGCTTTCCCAAAGAGTCCTTTGAGACCCTTCTTCTAATTGCCACCAGCCCTGCCAGATTTAATTACAAAGGAATAAGAATTTGATGAGTAGAGTTGAGCTTTTGAGGGATCCTGAGTTTTTGTAATACCTAAATGTTTTTTCACTGCCCACTAGCAGAAACAGTTTGTGCTCCTTTGAGGGCAGTATAACCCCCATGTTGAGCTGAGGATGCATGCTCTTTAAGTATATATACTGTTTATTACTTATTTATTCTTTGTTTATTGAGGCAAGGCTGGCCTCAAACTCTGCTTCATCTTCCCAAATAGGGGATTACAGGGAAGCTATGTCTGGCCTTTTTTTTTTAAAGAGCAAATACTTAAAAAATCTTAAAAGATTATATGAGGACTAAAAAAAGTTAAGTAGCCAAAAAAGATTGATTTACATTAGAAATGTCGTTGTTCCACACTGTGTTCTGAGCTACCCTGAGGTGAGCCAGGCCAAAGCCCCAGGCCCTTTGCCTGTGCTGGAAAAGGAGAAAGTTGAGGCTTCCTGAGGAGTGAAGGCGGAACAAGTGGGGCACCACAGGGGCCAGCTAAGATGATGGACTGTGCTAATGCCCCGGGAGACCTTTCTGTAGGTCTTCATCTTCCTCTCCCTGGACTGTATTTGGCAGGCTCTTCGGGTAGGCGTGCCCAAGCGTAACTATCCTGCTTTGACTGAAAAACCTTGTGAGACAGTGATGTCCTGGAGAAAGTGCAAGAAAGGAGCTGCTGGGGACTTGAAAGATTTAGGCAGAAAGAAGGGAAAACCAGCTCGGGAACTTCAAGTAGAACATCTTTAAGAAGAATAGGGAAAATGATGTCTATAAATAATTTGAGCAATGATTTTTTTTTTTTTTTTTTGGTTTTTTGAAATAAGGTTTTACTGTGCAGTTCAGGCTGGCCTTCAACTCACTTCATTGCGCAGGCTGTCAACAGCAGTGATTCCCACCCCTCCTTAGCAAATTAGAATGAAGTTGTTGTTAGGTATTAATGAGATGTGAATATAACATTAACTGTAAGGTGTTACATGTAAGGGAGAAAATTCTGTCATTTTAAGCCTTGTGTTCAGAAATTGAAGTTTTGTAGGTAAAAATAGTGCATAAATGTTATTGACCAAACCTTGCTTTTTAATTACTTTCCATCCTCTGATTTAATTTGAGATAATACTGTTGAGCCCGTTAGGCTACAGGAAAATCCAGTTATTAGAAAAATATTAGTAGAGCATGGTAATGGATGTATGGTGGGTCCGGCTGTGTGGGCCTTTCATAGTGTACCCATGCAAGAGAAAGCACGGCCTCGAACCATTGCCTCGCCCCTGCTGTGGGCTGTGAGCACTGAAGCAGGCCACACAGCTTATATGAAAAAAAAAAAGAAAAATATTAGTAATAGCTAGGTAAAAACAGAAAAATCTTTGTTGCCCTGTTAAAGGAAAATCTTACATCAAAATTAATAATGTGATATGGATACATTCCTAGTTTTTAGTTTATAAGTGTACAAGGCCTTGAATTTCAAATTTGTGCACTTGTGAGCTAGTGCTTTGGACTTGCTACTGTGCTGCTGACTGAGTTACCTGCCCAGAGTCCCCTCCGCTGCAGCCATTGTTGGGGCAAGATTTGAGCCCAAATCCATCTGACTCCAGTGCTAGATTGTTGTGTGTCATCAGCCCCTTGATGAAAATTATCAACCAAGAGGATGCAAATTCCTCAGTGGTATCTCAGATATTTCCAGAGAGGTCTGTAATCCCTCTGTGGTTTGGGGTATGGCAATGAATCTTTTGGATACATTTTAAACAAAGGAAACATAAAAATACTTTTGTATCATCCTGGTTAAATACTTAGTCTGAGGAGTGAATATTTGGTATAAATATTATCATCACCAAAGACCCCAAACCACTAACCATAATTTCATCTCTACATTTGAAAAGCAAGAGAATATTTCTTCACAATTTTTGATGATTGACCAAACCATGTAGACAGCTAGAGTGGGAGGGTCATTGTGCACTCACTGAATTCCACTTTCCTCTTAGATAGAGAGAAATTGGATCAGAAGTTAATGAAGGGGCTAAAAAGATAGATAGAGCTGAGGCAGACATCTACTCTTGAATACTGTGTCTTTCTTCAGATCTAGTGAAATGCATCTTCATTTTTGAAAATAAAAGCAAAAAACTCACAATTGAACTTGCCTTCTAGAGCTAGTGCCTAGGGAGTACTAGCTTTTTCTTTCTCCTTTGTCTCTGCTCTTTTGACCAAAACTCCAGTTTATAGTTAATTTTTCTAGCCATCTGAAACAAGACCCCAGGGTGAAAAGTCAGTATCTTAAGTTTGTCTACCAATTAAAGACTTACTTCATTTTCTAAAGATGCTATACATAAATAGATTTGTTTGCTGTGTTGGAGGAGATAAATTATCCAGGAAGTGTAAACAGTATCATAGAAGTAATGACTGCTTCCTGCTTAACCAGAGGCAGTATCTTTCAGCATCCCGTTCTGCACTCAGATGCCAATGTAACTCAAAATAAAAATTATTTTTCAGGGAGTCAGGGTACCAGTGGACAGGACTATTGCCATGTTAGGTCCATTGTGCCTTAGCTTTTTTTTTTTTTTTTTTTTTTTTAATATACTGTATAAACTAACTTGAGGCCAGATTGGACCCATAAAACATTGCATTTGTTAGTTATCTTAATATGACAGTATAACTTGTTGTATTTCCTTTTCTAATCTTAGTTAAGTAAACCTACAGTTTAAATAAATTGCCCATTATTTTGTAGAAGCCTTCTCTAATATTTGGGAGAGAGCAGTGTGCAGGGGATCAGAATTGCTGGCTCCTAAATGACATTGTAATCAAAGATAGCACTTAACAGTCTTAATCAGTCTCCCCTTGATGGTGGGAGAGGGGTCACTGGAAACATCAGGAGTGGACCAATTATGTTCCAGGGCTGTCTCAAGGCTTCAGTTCATGGCATGCCTGTGAGAGGGTAATTCATTTGACCTGGGAAAGGAAGAAGTTTTCTCACCCTGGAAATTATAAAAGATTGAGGCAGTGGATGGACATGAAAAGAAACTTCAGTCAAGTGTGACTGTTTGAAACTCGGTGCTGGTTTTCACTGTTGGGTGACTGAAAGGTGTCCGGTTGGTCCTCCTGACCCTTGATTCTCTTTCTCTTGGAAAGGATCAGAAAGCAGCCTTAGTTTTGCACTTCAGTATCAGGAGTCTGGGGCATTTCATACTGTTGTGCTTGGCTTCTGCGTGACTGGTTAGACTGGAACTTGATTTCCTCATGATCAAAATGTCATGATGCCATTTCTTCCAGTAATTAAACTTAATTATGTTTTATGGTCAGCAAACATTTTTCTTGTTCATTTCCATTTTCGACAATGCTGTAATTGACTTCAAAGCCCATGATCTCTGTCCCCCACACCCTGTCTACATGTAGTTAGCATTTTTACCCATGCTGAATGAGAAGACAAAGGATACATAATCTTTCCTTGTTCCCAGCCATTTTGTTTTGTTTCTATTTGCTTTTACTACCGAGGATTAAATTGAAGGCCTTTTTATTTTTCATTTCTTTCTTTCTTTTTTTTTTGTCTTTTTCTTTTTTATCAGTACCGGGGATCGAATGCATGACTGCTGCTTGCAAGGCAGGCACTTATGCCATTGAGCTAAATCCCCAACCCCGTTTTTATTTTTTACTTTGAGGCAGGGTCTTGCTAATAAGTTGCCCAGGCTGGGCTTGAACTTGTGATCCTCTTGCTGTGTGCCACCACATCTAGCAGTTGTGTTCTTAAGTCATTGCCAACCTCTTTAAGAACTCTAAGAGTATCTTAAGAATTTGAGCAACAGATGTTTAATACTTGGTCTAATTTTTTTATAGTTTAAAATTTTAAGTCTATGATTTTATGAAGAGAGCTTTTAACACCTGTGGTTAGCAGGTAGTTTTAGCATGTATAATAATAGCATGGCATCTGGTTATGTTACCTTTATTACAGAATTCTACAACTAAAAACTTAACCAATTTTCTTAGGCTTTATTAGATGTTTGGGTACCAGATATGGTACTAGATACTGAGAATACAAAAATGAATTAAATGTTTGTCTTCCTGTAAAGATTTAATAGGATAGAGATTACATGAACAGAATTTCAACATTGTATTTTAAGTGCAGTTAGTACAGAGGAAAGTGTGTGTGTATGTGTGTGTTATTTACCACGTACTATATTTGGCTGAATACAAGGCAAGTGTTAGAACTTCTAGGCAAGAAAGTGATTGGAACAATGTCTACCTACTCGAGACATTGTGTAAAATAGTTGGATGTGTCAGGATCTTTCTCTATCTTATATTCTTTTTGGAATATGCTAGTTAATGACTTAAAGTCATGGCTAGTACCATACTGTTATACTAAATCCTTCTCACATCTGTGTGTCGTGACCGGGAATCTTCCTCATTTTGATGAATACTTTTTTCTTTTCAGTTCAAGCTCCTGTCCATTTACAACAAACCCTATGGGATGTAATTTACTGTCTGTCAGGGCGAATGAAAGCACAGCTTGTTGTGACCTAACAGTTTGGTATATTGGTGGAACTGCTCTAAAGTCAACGTACCTTTCAGATTGCTTCCAAGTATGACCACCAGGCAGAAGAGGATCTTCGCAATTGGATAGAAGAGGTGACAGGGATGAGCATTGGCACCAACTTCCAGCTGGGTCTGAAAGATGGCATCATCCTCTGCGAGTAAGTCTGGCTCTCAGAGTTCTACTTGGCCCCGCTGGTCCTTTTCCACAGGCTTCTGTCCCCCTTCCTGACAGATCTGGGGTGTCAAACCTTGATACTTTACAGATGCATTTAATGCTTTTCTTAATCAGTTTAATATTCCAGGCCTTGTTTTTGTGTGACTAATAAATGTTTCTTTTATATTTGTTTTTAGACTCATAAACAAGTTACAACCAGGCTCTGTGAAGAAGGTCAATGAGTCCTCATTAAATTGGCCTCAGGTAAGGGCCAATCCAGCAGCCTCCATTTCTAGTCGGTTTCTTTTTATGTAGTGAGAAAGCTCAGGTTTAGTTTTTTACTTTATGATTACAGTTTTAAATAGCCACAAGAAGAGAAATTATACACACAGCTGTATTTTGCCATTTTCCTAAGTATTTCTTTAACTACAATTAAAGGTTCTGTGATCAGCAGGTAGTTAATTTAAAAGTTTTACAAAATTGTCTGCCTATGGCTGGGGATTTAGCTCATCGGCATAAGCGCCTGCCTTGCAAGCAGGCAGTCGTGGGTTCGATACCCGGTACCGATAAAAGGAAAAAGGCAAAAAACAAAACAAAACAAAAAAAAAACAACAAAATTGTCTGCCTGCTTCAAAAAAGAAATTGTCACAGCTTACCAAGAGAATTTCAACCCAGACCTTAGAATAAATGAGGGGAAAGCTAGGTGTTGTCCCACATCTGGAATGCCAGCATTTATGAGGCTAAAGCAGGAGAATTGCCGAGAGTTCAGGGTTAGCCTGGGCTACATAGTGAGGTCATACCCAGCTTGAACTACATAGTGAGACTCTGTCTCCAAGAACCAAAACCAAGGGAAAGCAAGGCATTTAGCACATCTGTTTGTCGTTCAGCACAGAACACCGTATCAGACATAATCTTAGTTCATAAATAGGTGACCAAGTAACACTGGATATATATTCAGTACTGTGTATTTCAAGATAAGAGTGAAACTGTTTAGTAACCACTAATTTATTTTGAAATTAAGATTAAAACTTGCAGTGAATTATTTATTAGTGGAAATCGGTAAATTTGATAAAAATTCTGGGCCCGGATAGCTCTGACACAGAATTCTTGCTTAGAGAATCCTTGCCTTTCAAGAGTTGAAAAATAATCACTACTCTAAAATATTAAAACTATTACAGGACTTCTTTCCTAAAGTGAAATATGCTTAGTACATATCCTGTTAATTCTTTTTTTTTTTTTTTTTTTTTGTCTTTTTCTTTTTTATCGGTACCAGGGATCGAACTCACAGCCACACACTTGCAAGGCCGGCACTTATTCCGCCGAGCTAAATCCCTAGTCCCCTGTTAAGAATTCTTGCCAACTAGCTTTCTGTCTGGCATCTTGTAACTAACAGGCATGAAGACTTAGGATTCTCAAAATGTTAAAATTTGGCTCTAACAGTTATATAACTCTTTTTCTTCCTAGTTGGAAAATATTGGCAACTTCATTAAAGCTATTCAGGCTTATGGTATGAAGCCACATGACATATTTGAAGCAAATGATCTTTTTGAGAATGGAAACATGACCCAGGTTCAGACCACACTGGTGGCTCTAGCAGGTCTGGTAGGTACATTTCACAGTTGGTTAAAAAAAATT